ATAGATATTAAGAAAATAAATTAAGAAAAAATATTTACATCAATAAAATCTTTTTCTTGGAACCAAATTGAGATCTTGAAATGTTTATCAAGGATTTCCAACATATCTACCTGAGAAAAAAAGTGTAAACCCAACATTCCATTGACCATACAATCAGCTTGAGAAATCATTTAAAAGAGGTGATAGTTGAAACTCAAAACCTCTAATTTCGAAGATCTTATGGGGACAATAACATATTTTAAGAAAGAAAAAAAATGGCCTTTACGTAAGGATTATATTGCTCCCAAATTTTATGAAATACAAGATGATCATTGAATGATAAAAAAACGAATCTTCAATTATACAATTCTATAGATTCCAGGTTCGATTCTAGATTAAACAGAGTAATTGAAGTCTCTTTTATGGTTTGTATTTTTATTATGTATAGAATAAAAAAATACAATAAAATAATATTAGGGATTAATCGGGATTCTTAAATTTGTAAAATACTTATTTTGGATGAGCCAAGTCGATAGGAGGAACCAGACGAATTACGCAGGTAGGGAAAAAATAGGACCCATGTTAAAATAAATGTGATTAACGCGAAATGTTCACCATTTTTCTGCTTCCTCACACTTATTTTTTTTTTCATCGAAATCTAAACTTGACTGATTTTTTCTTGATAACCAAAATCTGAGATGAGTAGAAATGTTAAAAAAAATATGGGATAAAACAACAATACCTCAGATGAAAATGTCATAAAACTACCATTCCATGTGCCTTCGATATTGTGTGAAGAATGCACTTTTCCCCTATCATAAGCCAAGAATTAGTCAATTTAATGAATAAGTCTAATTATTTTCCAATTTATCATTTGATTTTCAAAATGCTGCAAGAGTTTCAATTAGGCCTTTGTGAATCAGAAGAGAACATAGGAATAATAAAAGGCGAGAAGAGATGGTGTACTAGTCAAACATGAAATCAGAAATTCGATGGTGGAGGTTCACGTGACTGGTGGTGCGAGTTTGGTCGACAGTAGAGAGGGGTGTCCAATGGTTGTCTTCGTTGATGGCAGTGGAAGCTCGATGCTGGCGGTGGTTGGTGCTTCTCGGTGAAGTGGTTTTTAGGCGGTGGTGGTTTGCAAAGGTTGGAGATGGCGTGAGTGGTTGTCATGGTGAAGATCTTCGGTCAATTGATTGTGGAGAAGAGGCTGGTGAAATTGGAGGATCATAAAATATAGGAGTAGATTGTTCCAGGATAAAGGAGTCAAGGAGATATGGTCGAGATTTAAGGGAGTTTGGTATTGATCAATTCATTAAATCACGGGCTAGATAAGAACTCAACTCAATACTTAACTTTTTCAGCTATTGACCAAATAAGATTCATATGCATAAACGGATTGTAAATAACGCAATAAGGCTTGTACCTCTTAAAATTCAACATTTGAGGCTAAATGCTTATTAATGTATAAAGATATATATATATATATATATATATATATATATATATATATATGTGTGTGTGTGTGTGTGTGTGTGTATGTATATGTATATGTATATGCGTATGTGTATGTATATATCCATATATAGGCTTAGGTTATTCTATTCTAACTAATTATTGTGCGGATATCGTATGCTATGAGAATTACTAAGAGAATAAGTTGTTTAGCAATGTGAATACGTTCAACCTTACAAAAATATCATCATTTTCATGCATTCTCACTAATTGTTATTTATTTTTGTTCTCACACATCATTTTTCACTCATTTTCATTCTGACAGAATACGACCCAATAAACATTCTGACTACATTCTGACAAAAATGAGAATAATAATATTAAGTGTATAATAACCTTATATACGATTTAATTAGTGAGAATGTGTGTTAATGACAATAGTTATGTAAGATTGAACGTCTTTATATTATCAAGCAACATATTTTCTTTATCATTCTCATAGCATACGATATCCGCACAATAATTAGTTAGAATACTTGAACCTAGCTCTCCATATACATATGTATATACATTTTCTATGTATATGCATGTATCCATATGCATATGTATATATCCATACATATATAGATATATCCATGTGCATATACATATATCCATATGTATATCATATGCATAGGCATATATCCATATATCTATATGCATATCCGTGAACATATAGATGTCCATATGCACTGTCAAATCGAACCTACAGAAATATATAAATACCATTTTACCCTTTGTAAGTATGTCTTATTTTTCTGACTGGAAGAAAGAGTGAATGACTATTTTATCCTTCTAACTAGAATAGATGCTAAATGAACTTAACATTATTTGAATTTTATCTTAATACTTGTTTTGTAAATATATCAAGTTGATTCTTCACAACATTTCTTAACGAAAGTCATTCAATTTGGTGTTCTCATTCTTCTGTCTGTGTTATAGATCGAGGTTTAAGAGGTTATTGAACAATACGTGGAATTTCCTACAAGTAACCAAATTACAGCAGATAATATATGATTTTGCTATAATAAGTATTAAGTATTGTTTGGTTATGTTTCAGGAAATTGATATATATATATATATATATATATGGCAATGAACTGCATCAAGTGTTTGAGAAATATTGGTGTTAGCAACCGCAATAATACATTAGGAAGTTATAGAACATTTGATGTTAGATGTAAAGCAAAAAAGCTAAAGGTGGAAGGGTTGTTGATGCTCCAAAGTAGATGACTTGAAGCAAAGGAGGGAAATCTGCAATAGCGGTAGGGGGAAAATATCCTCAAGGAGGGGATTAATCCTAAGATACTTGTGGACTATGAATATCCAAAGTGGTTGTGGCACCTCCTGGACAAAAAACCTACACTGAGTTAGCATAGAAGGGAGAATATTTAAACTCTTCCATATAAACACCTCAAAGTTTTGTAAAGCTTTGTAACAGATCAAAAATCAAAGAAAACAACACCACTAGGGACAAAAACTGATTTAAATGTATACCCTTTCTGTCATTCTAGGTTTAGGTTTAGGTTTCTTCATTGGGTGTTGTTGCTTATAGATAGATAGATATGATATGATATGATATGATTATTACATATCATAATATAAACTTGGCACTTGTTTCTTTTTTTGCCTATTTATCTCTTTCTTTTGTTAGTTTATCTAAATGGTGATTGAAATTTGACATTTATCATCATATTGAGCAATTAATAACAACCATGTTCTTTATCAATTTAAACCTTGGTAATTAAACCAAAGGTATGTAAAAAAGGAAAAATAATAGTGTGGCTTCAAATCGACATGTTTATTGTTGACAATTTATGAATTGTAGGAGCAATGTCACCTTCATATTTCATAAATCCTAAAGGATCTCATTGAGGAACTGCAATACACCTTCGTGAGTTGTGGAATGGAGTTCTCTGACTGTGGGATGGATTTAGCTTCTTTTAAATGGTATAATTTTTTTTATTTAAAAAAAAGTAAGTTCAAGGATCATGACACTTACAATTTAAAACAAAGTAGTTTCTATCGATCTTCATGAAAAATAGAGCTTGAAAATTTTAGTCATGCTTCTCTAAAGGAAATAAGAAAAAAATGCATCAATTATATGCATAAGATTATTTTTAATCTCTGTGATCGAACAATGATTTAGTAATCTATTTTTTAGTTTTTTCTTTAATTGAAAGTAATCCGAAGGATTTGTATTGATTTTCATTAAAAACAAAGCTTGAAAAGTTTAGTTATAATTTTGTTAAAGAAAAAAAAACAATACATCAATCAAATGCATAAGATTATTTTTAATCTCCTCAAGACGCAGAACATTAGTTTCGGTCTTTGTAATCGAATAATGATTTTGTAGTCAGATTATTTGTTTTTTTATTTAATTGGAGGCAATCAGTTGCTTAAATGATTTGCCAGACTAGTTTAACGGGTACGCCCGCTGGTTCTGATACGTGTATGGGCTCGATTTAGTGAGTGGAGTAATGTTTAGGTAAATTAAGAGAGAATAACAACCACAAATGATATGTGAATGGAAAGAAATGGATAGATTAGTAACAACTCAAGACCTATTAAGTTGTATACCGGTGAAAACAATCCAAGACCTATTGGATTGAGTTCGTATCAAGTCAAGAACGCATCCTAACAAGATAATTTGTGAATTATAACAATAATTCCAATTGAACAAAGGTTTTTTTCTTAAAAATTCGTCTATTCACTTTCCCATGCATAAACTTGGCTTTATATGAAGCCTTTATTACAAAGTTGGTGGTTACAAGCCAACCAACCAACTACTCATTTAAACTAGTAAATGAAAATTAAGGAAACTCTTGAAATAACACAAAAAACGTCTACCACACTTAAGAATAATAAAAAAAACGTCCATGTCTTCAATTGTTCTTCAATTGCTAGTAATTGGTTATGAGAAGATGTAAAGAGTGTAACTCCCAATGATTAAAGAGAGCCATCAATGATAAGAGTGTAACTCCCAAAATTTAAAGAGGGTCATCAATGATAACCTTCCAAATGCTTCCATAACCACCCAAGCTTTGAATCAAACAATCAATGAAGTCTTGGATTTATTAAACTTTTATTAATTTACTTAAGAAACCCCTAATCCATCAACTACGTCACCATGCACACCCCATAGGCCATTAATTCCAAACAACTTTCGAGCCCAATATTAAGCTACCCATAACCTTTTGGGCCTTCATTATCCATATACGGATCAGGTTCGCTCCATCCATTGAGTTCGTTATTGATCCCATCTCTCTCTCTCTCTCTCTCTATATATATATATATATATATATATATATATATATATATATATATATATATTAATTTGTATTATAGCAAATACAATAGTTATAAAGTAATATCCATTCACAGAACCAACTAATTGTTTACTTTTTATTAAATTGCATATTATAAAGTTTCGTATATATGTATGATTCTCAAATGTAATAAAAATGTCAGTTTACATAAAATTATAACATAAGAAGACAGTGATGATAATATAACTTAAACCTGGTTTACTTTGAATGCTCAAGAACATATTTCTTTTTCTCTTCTTCGGTCATAAATGCAGTCACCGCAAAGGATTTTCCAACTCCAACCGGAATCTTGAAGTAAATCTTGGAACTTTTTTCATCTTCCATACTCATCTCAACAATAGGCACCCACATCAACAGTTGTTTGCTTTTAACTCCGGTCATTTTCTTCATCTTATGTTTTTCAATATATGCAGTCACTTCAGTTGCATAGCTAACACGTGTATTAGTCCCCTAAAAAAAGTGTTCATATGGACCCTTTTGCTTCATCCAAACAAAACCGGTTTTACGAACCCTCCCACACTCCACAAGATCTTTGAGTGGGAGTACACCTTTTGGGAAACCGAGTTCTTCAAGGAGATCAATGGAATGGCGATGACATTCTTCAGCACCGTACACAATCTCGGCCCCAGCTCTCTCGTCTGCCATTGTTTTCTTTCTTTTTTTCTTTTGTCAGCTGTATGTATTGATGTTTAAGTTGAATGCTTGGTAGCGCCCCAATATTGTTGGGTTTTATAGACGAAATAGGTTTGGTAGGGGGTGAGCTGAAATGGGGTTTGGTTGAAATTGTTGTTCACCTAATTAAGTTATGGTTCTTTGGTGGTAAGCCACCTACATTTGTGCTCCGCAAACATCGATGACGCTCCTATATAACTGAAACTATATATATATATATATATATATATATATATATATATATATATATATATATATATATATATATATATATATATATATATAGAGAGAGAGAGAGAGAGAGAGAGAGAGAGAGGGGTTCATGTGTTTAAAGTATTTATTGTGTTATTGTATGCATAAATGTAGGTCAATGAAAATTAAACAAAAAATTTAATAGTTAAAAAAATATATAAGAGTAATTTAATAATTTGTTAAGTAACTTCCAAAAATAATCCCTATAATCATGGGATAATCACCGATCTTCCTCACCTTAAAACCTAAATAAATTAGTCGGTCTTCCTCATCTTTTCATTGCCACCTGCGACCGCCAACGTCATATCTGCCTCATCGATATTCACCAAAAATCAGCCCCTTCGCTCTTCCTCCAAATCGATCAGAACTCCAAACTTGGAATCCAAGACCTTTGTTGGATCCAAGCCTAATCCGACTCATGGATAATCGTTGCCCTAATGGGACCATCACTCCTCGCTCTCTTCGACATCCCCGATGGATGTTGCTTCTTCAAATACAATGCATCGTTGGCGATCCCAGACCGAATCCCGATGAGTTCTGCGACGAATCAACACCAGCGACCCTTTGTGGGGTTGCCCTTCATCGTCTTCTTCATAATTGTGTTGTTTGGCATATCACACGTCCTTAATTCAACAACCGCCCCGACTCGTGTACTCGGCGGCGCATCGTTAAACGCCACCATTCCGTATCAAACTCTCTACAGGTTCATAATCCTGTACTTGTATGTGTGCATGTGGTTTGCTAAATTTTGTTCTTCTATCGATGGTTTTCTGTGAGTTTCAGGCCTTATGTTAATTAATTATCTCGTTTCTATTCTTCTAATGATGGCGTCGAATCCCTAGATTTCAATTTGTCTAACGAAGAAAGCAAGCGAAGATTAACTAACAGGTTTGATGTTTCATATCCCTATTTGACTCCCAGAAGCGTGATTCATTTCTGATTTGTGGCTTTTGTTGTAAATCGGAGTAGGTTGTTGTATATAAGCAAACAAAGGGGTTTTTTGGAGCTAGACTTAGTTCTAGGAAGTTGGGTGGAGAATCACATTGGATCTTTAGATGTAAAGGGGATCAAATCACTTATTATTGTCCTCGACCTGGTAAATTCCACAAATATTATTGCTAATAATTACCAGTAACAGATTACACTAGGGTTAACATCCATCTTACTTCCTTTTGAATTGCAGGAAAATCCAGATTTGTGGAAATGGCTCACTGGACAGGAGCAACCTCTTAAAGCAATCGAGACGAATCCTGTGAGTTAAACTTTATTGAAAAACCTGAATTCATGTACTAGTTTGTTTCTTATGTATGTATTGTGTATAGTGTAGATGGCTATCTATCATCAGTTTGTTAATATTCTAGATATTTTTTGTTTCAGGCTGTGATAAAGCAATTTTGTGTCTGGGTTAGTGTGTGAAGTGGAGACCGAAAATTATGTATTCTGCAAGGATGCATTTCAGCATTTCTAACAGCAATTCTGCCGGAATAGAATATCGAATTCCAATTCCGTCAGAATGGGATAACTATTCGTCATTATATTTTGATATAATAGTCTACAATAGAATGATGGGACTATATGTAATAATATATTCCCATAGAATATTCAGGTAGAATAATATACATGTTTTTGTTTCTTATTAGTGAGTATATCATTTTCATAGAATATTATATAATGTTTTTATTTTTTAAGAAGGTAATAAAAAATTGAAGTTGTATCCAAAAATTTGTTACTAGTCAGTGATATTCTCATAGAAGTTCATTATAACAGAAATATGTATACTGACATTCCTAGAGAATATAATTCTAACGAAAGGTCATTCTAACAGAATAAAATCAGGCTTAATTAAAAATTAAAAATTATGATATAGTTCAGATTGAATTAACTAAAAATATTCAGAATTTTAAAATTAAGAAAATTAATTATCCCTAAAAATATGGAAGTTTCCTTTTTTAAATTGATCTCAGTTATCTAAAATACCATTAGAATTAAATTAGATGGTAATTTTCAATTAACTTTAATTTAATAGAATGTATTAATCATTTTTTTAAAATAAGTAAAATGATTGGCCCACATTTATGCATACAATCACACAATAATTAGTTTAAATAGAATAACCTAAGCATATATATATATATATATATATATATATATATATATATATATATATATATATATATATATATATATATATATATATATATATATGAGAAATTAAATACCCCCTACATTTTCTTCATACTTATCTTCTTACCCATGTAAAATGATGATATGTGTCATATTTATATAAGATTAATGATATTTTAATACACTTATCATTAGTTTAAATGTGTAGGAAGATATATAGGAAGAAAAGTAAAAGGATATTTAATTGCTCTCTCTCTCTCTCTCTCTCTCTCTCTCTCTCTCTTTCTTTCTCTCTCTCTCTCTCTCTCTATATATATATATATATATATATATATATATATATATATATATATATATATATATATATATATAAGGTTATGGATGACCATGAAACGCACTAACTGAAAATTTCAATGAAGAAATAATAAAATAAAAGCACAAGGAACATAAAGATAGTAATAATAATAAATTATGCAGGACACCTCTCTTAGCTAAATATATAGAGTAAATTACACGAATGTTCCTAATGGTTTGAGATAATTTACGTATTTGGTCCGTAACTTGTTTTTTAACACAGAAGGTCCCTACTATTTGTTTTTGTTATGCGCTTGGTCCATACTGTTTATTTGAGTTACGCGCTTGGGCCTTGTCTTATCTAAAAAAACTAGAAAATTGTGGGGTAGGTAAGATAAGGTGAGAGGGTAGGGTTGATGGTGTGTTTATTTAAATAAATTAAAAAATAAAGGGAAAATAGTATTTTTAGGTAAGAAGGGACTTAACTTCCTGCAGGACGAAACACTTCCTAAGCTTGGACTTAACTTCCTGCAGGGTAGTGATGTGGTTTCCTATGAGCAGAATGCCATTAACATACAGTATGAGGAAGCTAACTACACTCCCACTGGCTTTGACATATACACATGACTCATCCTCGCTTCGCAGGATGCCAAACTCTTTGACGTTCTCGTCAAAACAAAGATTCCACCTGCGAGATGCTTATTTCAATCCATAAACGGACTTCTCAAGCTTACACACCCTATTAGGATGCTTTGCATCGAAAAAACCCTCTGGCTCAATCATGTAAACATCCTCAACCAACTACCCATCGAAAAAACCCAATTGCTAGCATCACCATAATATACTTTATCTTTGCAACCGATGAGAACGTCTCATCATAGTCAACTCCGGGAGTTTGAGTAAAGCTCTTGGCAACGAATCGCGCCTTATAAGTGTGTACTTTCCCATCCATGTCGGTCTTCTTCTTGAAGATCCACTTGCACCCGATCGACTTACGACCTGGAAAATTCTCAATCAAATTCCGAACTTGGTTGTCATACATGGACTGAATCTCGTTGTCCATAGCCTCTTTCCATTTTGCAGACATCGAGCCTACCATGGCTTCTTTGTAGCTGTTAGGTTCATCCAAATTTGTTAGTGTACTGTGACTAATAAACATATCACCTTCACTTGTTATATGAAAATCATATAACATAGGTGGAACACAAACTCTACTAGAATGTCTAAGAGGTAAGGACTCGTCAATCAGTTCAACCGGAGTTTCCTCCTCGGGTTGAGCACCAGCATCAGAGGTTCCTTCATCACTTGACTCTTGAAGCTCTTCAAGACCAATTTGCCTCCCACTATCCCTTTAGCTTATGAGTTCTCGCTCTAAAAAAACCTCTCTCCTCGCAACGAAGACAACATCATCACTCGGTCTATAGAAGAGATATCCAAATGACTTCTGTGGGTAGCAGATGAAAATACTCCGCTCACTATGAGTTTCGAGCTTGTCGTGAGTCTATCGTCTTACAAAAGCCACACAACCCCAAACCTTGATATGTGCCAACGAGGGAGCTTTCCCTGTCCACATCTCATGAGGTGGTTTGGTAACCTTCTTTGTAGGGACTAAGTTAAGGATATGGTAACCTTCTTTGTAGGGACTAAGTGGTAACCTTCTTTGTAGGGACTAAGTTAAGGATATGGGTGGTAGTCTCTAAGGCATACCCCCAGAATGAGATAGGTAGAGAAGCACGACTCATCATGGAACGAACCATGTCTAGCAAGGTTCGATTATGCCTCTCAGCCACACTATTCAACTGCGGTGTCCTAGGAGGCGTCAATTGTAACATGATTCCGCATTCCTTGAGGTAGTCGTGGAATTCAAGACTCAGGTACTCTCTACCTCGATCAGATCGAAGCATCTTAATTTTCCTGGCCAGCTGATTCTCCACTTCTTGCTTAAACTCTTTGAACTTTTCAAAGGTTTCTGACTTGTGCTTGATTAAGTAGATATACCCATATCTGTTATAATCATTGGTGAAAGTCACATAGAAGCGGTTTGCATCCTTTGTGGTGGATCTAAAGGGACCACACACATCGGTGTGTATGAGATCCAATAAACCCTAACCCCTTTCACAAGTACCAGTGAAGGGTGACTTGGTCATCTTTCTAATCAAACAAGACTCACACACGTCATCCTCCCTAAGGTCGAATGAATCCAACACTCCATCCTTTTGGAGTTGGGCTATGAATTTCTTGTTGACGTGTCCAAGACGATAATGCCACAAGCATGTTTTATCCAAAATATTGGAAGAATTGATACATAACACATCATTTCCTAAATTATCTACAACCATCACAGTTACATATATTCCATTACAAGGCGATGCTTCAAAATAGAAAACACCATTAAGATAAGCATTAATATAACCCTTTTCATTATCAAATGAATATCTAAATCCTTGTCTATACAAACCATGAAAAGAAATGATGTTTCTAGCCATTTTAGGCGAATAGTAACAATTATTCAAATCTAGTCCTAATCCATTAATAAACACTAAAGAGTAAACCCCAATCTTGGTAATAGGCGATGCTCTTCTGTTCCCCGTGATCAAGTTTAACTTCCCATGCTCCACATCCCTATTTCTTCTTAGGCCCTACAAATCAAAATTGATGTGAAAACCACATCCTGTATCGAGAACCCAAGAAATAGCATGTGATAAATCATTAGATTGAATAGTATAAATACTTGCGTAGGACAGCTTGATCTTTCCATCCTTGATATCATATAGATATTTTGGGCAGCTACATTTCTAATGCCCCTTCTCATGGCAGTAATAGCACTCTATGTCCTTTGGGTTGGAGGTGGGTTCAGCAAGACCAACCTTGGTTCCACTAGAAGAGGTGTCATCATGGGACTTTACCTTATGGTGACCCTTTGAAGGATCCTTCATCTTCTTACCCATCCCCTGCCCAATAGCCAAGACGAGGGAAGATGTAGCGGTAAGATTTTGCGTAACGGATTTATCCTTGAGTTTTCTCTTAGCAGTCCACAACATGCCTTAAAGCTTTCTCAACGTGACCTCCTCTGTGTTCATGTGGTAGGTCATGTGGAACTGGTTGTAGCAAGGAGGAAAGGATTGAAGAATGATATCAATCGCCAGCACTTCATCGAAGTTAACATTTAACTTCTACAGGTGGTCGACATATCTTTGCATCTTCTGCAGATGAGTAGTGACAGACTCTTCGTCCCTCATCTTGTTCGTGATCATCAAAGTGATGATCTTGTACCTCTCCTGCCTGGAACTCTAGAGGTACATGTCTAGTAGATCTCGATGCATTTCATAGGGATAGAAGTCCTCATACCACTTTTAGAGTTCAGCAGTCATGTTCGCCAGCATGATGCAATGGACTTTCGTGGCATCACACTCATGGGCCTCAAAGGCAACGAGACCTTGGGAGTAGCAGTGTTGACATGTACCTCCTTTAACTCCTTATTGAGGACATACTCTTTGTCCTTGTAGCGGTTTACCATCCTTATGTTTCGGATCCAATCATTAAAATTGTTTCCGTCGAAGATCACCATTCCACTCAAATTCATGGGTGAGAATGAGCCGAAAGAGTTTAAGCAAGAAGCGTTATTGTTTGGGTTAGACATCTGAAAAAGAAAAGAGACAAAGTTTGATTAGATAAGAATCCCCAATTAAACTCCCAAATGAGAAATTAGGGTTAGGACCCAACAACATTATTTGCAGTTTAGAAAAGGGATGCCGTAATCTAAACAGCAAAATAATTTTAAGGTAAGTTAATGACGATTCACTAATTTCCACCATGAAAAACAAAATCAATTAAGTTTTAAATGTTTTGAAACTCTTAGATCCTTTTAGATTCATTGAACTTTTCAATGGCATGTTTAAATCTCAATATGCCCTTCAAGTTTGTGACTGGGATACCGAGGATCACAAACAAGGTGTGAATAACCATGCAAATGTACATGGTGCCCTCAATGTTACAAT